ACGGTCTTTTAGATTTATTTGATCTTGAAAACAAAGGAGTAGGACTTAATCATGATTTCAATCATTGGAAATTTAATAGCAGTATGTTTTCGCAGGGAGTTATGCCATTATCCTTTACTCCCAAGCCTAGCAAATATGCAAATGCCCTATTTGAAGAAATGTCAGGCTATTGGATGGATTTGAAACCAAAAGATGATGTTTCAACAGTTGTTGATATAGCTACTTGGATGCGTCGATTTACATGTGATTTTATATCCCTCTTGACAACCGAGAAGCAGTCTTCTACAATCCATTATTATTATCGTAACGCCCACAAAAGAGATGATCGAATCCGAAGAATTTATTGAAAGTATAAACACTTTTGTGTCAGATAATCAAATCATGTTTGTACCAAAAATGATAAAAGATTTACCTTTTATTAAAAATCGTGTGGAGAAATTGTTGGCCAATAATTATATGTTTTATGGAAGATTGAAAAATATTGTCATAAAAAGAAGAAAAGAACTTGAAAAAAATATTAATAATGATAATGATTATCTTAAAACAAAACAACTTGATCTATTAACCTCTTTGATTGTTGTTAATACTCCATATGACACTCGGCCTCAAAAAAATGTCAATCCAGCGTTATTAAGACCGATGACTGATGATGAAATACGTGGTGTTATGTTTGATGCTTTTGTGGCTGGCACAGATACGGTACGTATTATGTAATGTAATATAAGATATTAAAAATTTTTTTTTTTTTAAACGTTATAACGATATATTTTTTTGCATTTCTAGACTGTGAATACTTTTTGTTTCGTAGTATATTACATTTCACATTATCCAGAAGTCAAAAAGAAACTGTTTGAGGAAATCGATTCAGTCTTCAAGGATGATCCAACCAGAGAAGTAACAACAACAGATCTTGAAAAATTAAAATACTGTGAAGCAATAATTAAAGAAACATCAAGAATAAGACCCACAGTTAGTATGCTTTCAAGATACAGTGATAAACCAGACGAAATAGCAGGATACAAATGGCCAAGCAAAACATTATTCATAATGTATGTTCGTGGAATCAACAATAACCCACTTTATTGGAAAGATCCCGAAAAATTCATACCAGAAAGATTTTATGATCCTGAACAGATTGCAAATCAGCATAAAAATTCATTTTTAATGTTTGGTGGAGGTCCAAGAATGTGTCTAGGTAGAAAAGTTGCAATGATTGAATTAAAAACATTGCTGACTTTAGTTTACAGAAAATTTGATGTTGAATTGGTAGATATGAAAGCTCCCCTTAAACTTGTAACATCGACAATCACCATCTGTAAAGATTTAAAAGTCAAACTCACTCCCAGAGAATTAACAACTCGTGCATAGGATTCTATCGTTAGTAATTATACGCGATAACCATATATATTAAATAGTTATAAACATTTTATATTTTATCATCATTATCAAAAGTTCCTAATAGAGTGGTTTAAAAACCAATTATTAATTTATCACAATGTACATATTTTTAGTCATGATGTAAAGGAATTTTACATGTAGAAAGGATTTTATTGTCATGTCCGGGATGTTGTGTATTTAAATTACTCTAAAAAGGAATATATATATTCATTAAATTTATATTATAGATACATTTTATATTAAATACTTGCATTGTGAAATTTTAAGTTGTGACTATTTATTCAAGAATGCCATCAATAACTTTCTTGAGATTTTAATATTTTGAAAGTGACTATATATCATTTTATTCTTGTTAATAATAATATGAATATCCCAATTTTGCAGAGGAATCCATTCTATTCCGAAAACCGTAACGAAATTAATTATAATCAATTGTTTATTATTAATAAAAGAAAACCACCGTTGTGAGTTTTGTTAAACAACTAGACTTTAGATTAGTGAGCATATAATCGCCTAATTTTAAAAAAAGAATATAGAAACATTCAATGATTAGAACATTTTGAACTTACAATTTAAATTGTAATTTGATGGTTATTGTCTGAATTGCTTGAAACATTAAAAATAATAAAAGTTGTAAAGATAATAGAGGAAAATATCCTCTTTTGGTGAATTTCATAAATCAGGAAATAAAATAAGAATTACTTGGCCGAGTTAGAAAAAGGAGATCAGAGTAGATATGCAAGTATTGCAAAGGAGAGGTGAAATTCTTTATTGAGGAATTTAAGAATGCAATAATTCCAATTCTTTAAACCAAAAATGGAACTCTTAACCTTTACCTATCATCTCCTTGTATTATCATATGACATTAGTCTCTCCTTAATAAACAATTGAATAATAGATAGAATATTTCATTAAAATATTTTCGCATAGTGCGAAATCGTAAATGATGGTATAAATTGGATGTATATAAACCTGTCACTATGCGTATGTGTTTGTCATAACTTGAGCTATATTTAGTTCTCGCATGTTTTGTAATGGCGAATATATGACTCGGTACTTTTGTAAAAAGAAAAGAACGAATTAATTATCAATAAATTACTTGTAAATATTAAATTCGGTTCTTTTATGGATAACAATAATAAAGCTATTATCAGAAACAGCAACTATGTATAAATCAAAATTTATAAAACGAACGATTCTGCAAGATCTTCTCTTAAAATATTTAGAATATTTATCTGGTTGAATCGTTCGTTAAACATAATCAACTGATCAACTAACTATTGATTGGATTTTTTTACTATAAAGTCGGTATTTTATCATTTTAAAAATCGGATTATATGTACAAGATAGACACGAAAGCTGTCCAATTTTAATTTTCTATTGTTTGTTTTTTTGTTTGTTATGCATAAATCTAGTCCGAGTTGGCCTACTATTGGTGCTATTTTCGAATTACCAATTGCAAAGTTGTGTAATTTTGGATCTGCAAAAACAATGCAATTTAGAATTTGAATAATGATGCCAAAGAGAGCACGAGAGAAAATAATAATATTGGAGAAACGTATCACTAACCAGATTAGAATCACGAGCAGAGCAAAAACGACAGAACAATAAAGGATTTCATTAAAGCATGGAAAGTGTTTTAGAACATGATTCATTAATTTTGTGCCATTATTTAGAATTCATTAATTTTGTGATTTTTTGAGAAAACAAATAGTTGATATAAAAATGAACGGTCATAAGAAAAAATCAAGTTTCTCTATTTCACAACTTATTTTATTTTTTAAAAATGGTTAATTTAATAAATCATAATTGTTTATTGAAACTTAAATTAATCATTTTTAGTTTATTGATTTTGGATAGTTGCAGATATTTGGTATCTGTTCAATCATTGAAATTAACACATCAAAGTTCAATCATAATAAATGATAAACTCTATTTTCTTGGAGGAACTAATAATAGATCTGAATACACGAATCAAACATTCAGTCTAGATTTATCTAAACAGTTTTCACTCACATCACTCAATCAGACAGAATCACCAATAAAAGAACTTATTCTAAAGTCAGAATTCCCAGTGCCAAGATTTCAAAAAGCATCACTGGCATTAGGAACAGACAAGCTTTATATTTTAGGTGGCCAAAGATATTCTTATATGGAAAATGGACCTGAAATTTATTCAATAAATATAGCTTCGTTTGATACATGGACTCCTGAAAACTTTGATGGACAATCAGAATTAAAGACTAATTCTATAAGTTCTGCAACATACACAAGTGATAGTGATGGAAATACTTATATAACAAGTTTTTATGATGATGCCATATTTAAATTCAACACCAACGATTTGACACTTGTATCAGTAAAGATTAGTGATGTATTTTTATCATCTTACTCCACCTCTCATCTATTGACCGATGAAAGTATGATTTATATAAAAGGGACTCTTTCTAAGGTATTATTATCGTTGTAACAGTAATTGTAACAATAACATTTGTTTTAAATGATATGAATGTGGTTATTAATTATGATTGATATACAAAATTTAGGTATATCTGTATGATATTAGACAAGATGAATGGTCTGAAGTTGTAAGTATTATTATTATTATTATTATTATTATTTACAATTATATTTTCAATGATAAAGAATATTAATAGATTTTTTTGTTATATTAGACGACAAGTGGTGGTGATCTAGCTGCAAGAGATGGGTTTTCTTCAGTATTAGGTGAAAATTGATTACAACTAATGCTACTACTATTATAAATGTAATTATTCAATTAATAATTTTCTAATATATATATATATGTATATTTTGTTTTTTAGCTCCTGATGGAAGATTAATTGTTTATGGTGGTACTCAAAGTCCAAATAAATTGGTAATCTTAGATACAGAATCTTTTGTATGGACAACTCCAAAAAATATGGTTTATCCAATTAATGGTAATCATCGTGGTCATACTTCAAATTTGTATGGAAATTATATGATAATCTCATTTGGTAACTAATGATAATTTTAATACATATAAAGTCATATGTTTTAAAATATATTAATAATAATAATCATATTTAATCAACAACAATAATAGGTCAGATTGGGGGTTCTTATAGTTCTGAATTTAATCAAGGTATTTTAATATTAAGCATTGCTGATAAAAATAATTATAAATGGGTGGACACATATGTTCCTCCTTCACCAGAAGAGATCAACGCCACCAAGACCGCTAAACCGAAAACAAAAACTCCAATAGCTATGATTGTTGGATTAGTTGCAGGTGCAGTCTTGGTCGTTGCTTTAATTGCTGGGGTTGTCTTATTTATTAGAAGGTCTAGAATGAATGATTCTAAGATAGGAGACAACCCTAATAATAATGCCAAAGTCACTGGTTTTTTACAGTCAAAAAGCTAGATTTCCTGGAAATTTTGGGAATTTTATCGAACAATTATTATTGCTACTATCGTTTATTATTATTTATATTTATATTAATATTTATTTATCATATATGATATCTCTCCGATTTTTATCTGGAGTTGATATCATCATATTTAATTTTTTCATTTGATAATAATAAACCAAGATTATCTGTTTTAAAAGTATCTTTGGATTTAACGCTTGAAAAAATCAATAGACTAAAAAGTCTATGATGTTTTTATAAAGATATATTTTGATATTACTACCACTACCTTTTTGTGGGAAATATTTATAAAAATTATTAGTACGTACGTTTGTATTATTATTGTTAAAAATGAGAACCATTTCAAGAATAGTTTAGGATCATATTATTATCAGAGTAAATTGTCACGAAAAAAATCAAAATGGAAATGCTTGACAAAAGTTGTGCTGTATATTGATTAAAAAAAAAACAGAGATGAAGCAAATTGGGGAATTTGAGCACACAAGCAACGTAAAATTTTCCTCAAGATGCATAGCAATAATTTTTTTTCTTTGAATATCAGTCAGTGCTTCGAGGAAATTTAGTGATTAGAAAAGTTGACTTTTTGTTAATAAAGCTAGTCCACTAAAGCTAGTTTGCACGATTCAAACTCTAAAGATTTTAATCATTATTATTTATTTATTAATATTATTATTATTGATAAGATCAAAATAAAAATTCCGTGATATATTGAGCCAATCAAAAAAATTTATATCCGTCCGTGTGAGTGGAGAATTCCTTAATTGCTTAGTATTAGTATTACCACCCTTCTTTTCTTTTAATATTAATAATAACAATAATAAGTAAATTTTATTATTTTTTTTTGGAAAATTCTCAAGTGTAATTTTTTTCTTTTTAAATAATTCAACGATAATATTTACAAGTCAACCAAAAGTTGTTTAATCATTGAAATATAAAAGTATGTACTTTTTGATTAGAAATTATTTTTATTATTATTTGTCTTTTTGTTATTATTATTACTATTACTACTGTTACTACCACTATTATCACACAATTAATTGAAGAAAATAGTTTAGAAGGGTGATTTTGTTTTGTATGCATTCTAATATTAAAAAAAAAAAGATTCTGTAATTATAATAACATATTAAATAAATAAACAGATTAATTAATATCTTTTTTTTTTTATATTTATACATTTATGCAGATTTCTTCAAAAAAATTTAATATTTTTAGTTATATGCTATAAATATATTACAAAATAAATATTTTGATTTTTAAATTTTACCAAGAAAACCTTTTAATAGTTATAAAAAAAAACAACAACAGCAATTAATTTTAATAATGTCTGATGAATTTGATATATATAATGATGATAATTTTGGTGATAATGAAAATACAGTATGTTCAAGATTACTCTACATTTTATTTTATTGTTTAATGTTATAGTTATATTATATTAACGGTAAAGAAGAATAGTAACAAATATTATTATTACCATTATTATATTTAATCTCATTTTTAAAAAATCAAAACCTAAAACCAATATTTATTAAAATAAAAGAGTCAAGACTTGTATCCAGATACTTTAAATTTGGAAGAAACTGTACGTCCTTTGAAGCGAACAAGAAGAGAAGCTGATCTGGATTATGAAACTTCTGATCATGATGATATCCAACATAATCATAATCATCAAAACCGACAGCAACAGCGTCAACAACAACAACAACATCATCATAAAGTTGGCGAGGATGACTTATTTGGAGATTTTATGGAAGGTGAAAAGGTTCGTGATTATTTCATAACGCAGTCTTTATGATGTTTCTTTTAATTAATATTATCATCATCATTATTGTTGTTGTTTGTTGTAAATATATATTATTTTTGTGTTTTTATCATTGTTTTATATTCATTAATTATATAGACCGCGTTATGATGTATTTATTTTATTACAAGTGATTTTTTTAATTATTTAATTAATTTTTTTTTTTTTTTTTTTTTTGTGATTATTTATAATTATTATTTTTTTTTTTTAAAATTATTTTGCTAAAAAAAAAGGAAAGTAAATTTTTATTGAATTTGTAAATAACATATGTGTTGATATATATGTGTGTGGATGTATATAAGATACAATGTATAAAATGTAAAAAAAAAAAAAAAAAAAAAAAAAGAAAGAATCAATAATTTAATAATTTGGAAAAAAGGGAAAAAAGGATAAGAAAAATAAAATTTCATAGCATTAAACTTACCGAATTTCTTTTTTTTTTTTTTCTATATATATATATATATATATATATATTTGGGGGGATTTTAAAAAAATTTCATCGTTATCATAATTTTATTACGGTGTTTATTATGGAAATTTTTTTCTCTCACTCATTGCCCATCCTCCCTCCTATCTCTTTTTTATTTGATTTAAAATCAACAGGGATACGAAGTTAAATTGGAAAATACTGATGAGGATAATAAAAATCTTGGTAGTGATAATGCCAATATTAATGCAACTGAAGGTAATAATAAATCAAAAATAAAAGAAGGATGGATGGATAATATGCATTATTGATATTTATTAACTTGGTTTAAAAAAACTGGGGAAAATTTTAAATCTTTAGGTCAAACACAAAGTCTACAACGTGCTTCATCAACTACTAGTAATGGAAGTCAAAGCATGATGGATCGTAAAACTATTTCTAATGCTACAAATGCATTATACATTGGCGATTTAAATTGGGTAATTAATAAAATTAATCAATCAGTTAATTAAATATCTTGTTTTTATTTTTATTTTTGGTAACAATTATAATAACAAAAATGATAGTGGACCACTGATGAAGATCTTTGTGCTATAGCGCGTGATGTTGGAGTGTTATCTGAAGTTAAAGAAATCACTTTCTATGAACACAAGGTTAATGGAAAATCAAGAGGGTAATTGATCAATTAATATTATACAAAAATATACTATATATATTTTTTGAAAAACAATAGTAATAATAACAATAATTTATTTTAAATAGTGTTGCTTATGTAGAATTCACAACTGAGGAAGCTGCTAGTAAAGTTAAAGAGAGATTAGAAGAAGTGTGAGTTATAAATAAATTTTACATTACTTCTTATTGACACATAAACTTATATTCATATAATTCCATCAATTAAATATTTAGTGAAATCACAGATAAAAAATGCTTGGTAAATTTCACAAGCTCAGCAAATGGTAATCCTTTCAAAACTGTCCCAAAAGGTATTTTATTATAATATATGCATATCTAGATTCATACATTCATGTTCTTTGTATCCGTTCTTACACCTACACTAAAATATATTATTGATAGAACCACCTTCAAAAGCTTCTCGTCAACAACAACCATCAGTACAGCAAAGATCTGCAACATCTGGAAATTTACCAATTCGTCCTATTATGAGACCGACAGGCGGTGGAATGGATTTCCATAATCGTAATTTCCCCTCAAGGTGTGCAATGCAACGTGTAATACTGTGTTTGCAGGTGATCAATCCTATAAATCTTGATCTAACCATATCAACACGACCAATACCATGATGAACAGCAACTTTTTCATCAAAATATATGCAACAAGATCCATTCAGGAAAAACTTATATAGAAAGTCCCTTTTAAGAGTTTCCAATGTCCTTCAACGAACATGGTTGTTTTTAACAGAGATCATATATTTGCATGATGAACCGTTCAATCCTAATCATGCATACTCTTCCAAGACCAAGTCATCACATCAGGAAAACTATATCATTCATTATACAATGTGTCACAAAAAAATGGCACAGGTAAAAAATTGAATTGTCAACAAATACATAAGATAATTAGATTCCATCAATTACTCGCTCTATTAAATAAAAAAATAAACATGAAATATTATTGTCAGTTTTTTGTAAAGCTGATCCACATCTTTTTTTTTAATTTTCATTAAATTTTTGTCTCTAAA